ACGGTTGGGTTCAAGTAGCGCGCCCCCCGCCCCCCAACGTCGCTTGCTTTCCCTTTGCTCACCACGCCCTATCCACGTGACCTACCTGTCCACCACCCTTTGTCCTCTCAACACACACACACACACATGGCCCCACAATGACCCCTTCCGCCCCCGCCCCCCCCTCCCCCCCCCCCTTCCGGAAAGTTGGGATAAGAAAAAGAAAATTGACCCCCCTTTGGCAAAGTAGGAAGGGAGGATTGCCCATCGGTGATTTGTTGCTCCCCCCTTTGGGGGACCCGGGGTCAATGGTTTAACCACAAAGGCAGGAAAAAACAGGAGTCCCCCCCCCCCCCCCGTCGCGCCGCTCAGGCGATTGCCGACAGGCCGGGGTGCCCGGAAACGCACATCATCCTGGCGGAGACCCTCCACAAGGGAGGGGACGGGGAGGAGGCGGAGAAGGTAACCAACCGGCTGGCTTGCTCGCGGTTCACATAGTCGGTTTGTCGGGAGGCGTACTGTTGTTGGTTGGCGCATTGCGCGCGGCTACGTAGTAGTTGGAGAGGCGTGCCTTTGAGTTGGTGCATGGCGGACGACCTTTGCGCGCGGTCATACATACAATAGTAGGTGGAAAAGGCAAACTGTCTAGTAGATAAGAAACGGGTTCTCCGACTCATGTAAGTATTGTTTGACTTGTCCTCCAAAAACCCAAAAAATAATCCAAAATAATTAATATTTAATAAAAAACACACATATATGTATATATTTTTTTCATCCTCTGGTTGTGATGGAGTAATCGAGCATTGAAAATCGGGTCAAGGGGTTGCGGTATCTCACGTCATGCAACCTAAGGTACTCTTGCAGAATGTCACAGTCTTTGCGCGTGGACGCATGGTAGAAGTAGGTGGAGAGGCATCCTGCTGTCTGCCTCCGTCGCCATTGCTGTGAAGGTTAGCGGGACTTGAACACGTTTCCGATGGACGTGGCAAAATTGTTGTCGAAGCCTCGTCCCCTTTTTCCTTATGTGGCGGTGCCTACTGGGGCTTCATCGATGGGTGTGACGTTTAATGACGCGTTTGGGGGTCGATCTTGGGGGCCACGCCTGTGCGTGTTGTAGCATAACCCCCATGATGTGCACCATCTCCATCTGGTATCGGGTGGTACATTTTTTTAAGGCGATCCATTATCTTGAAGGTTAACTTTCATCTAGTCTGGGATCAGGTTTTCTTTTTGGAAGGTGACCCATGATATCCAACGGTAGCATCCATCTGGAATCGGGTTTGAAGGTGATCCATGATGCCCAACGATAACATATTCATCTGGGATCATTTCTTATTTTGTTTTTTAACAGGTGATCGAGGAGGCGTGGAAGATCTTCTCCAGGGATGCGCTACCGGATGGAGTGCCTGACTCGACACTCGCCGTGGTACAGCTTAACCTCGCCCGGTGCGTGTGTGTGCGGGATGGGCGGGGCGTAAACCGAGAGAAGGGGGTTTGTGTCTGCCTGCTGCTGGGTGTTTAGGGATAGTGGGGGGCGCCTCCACAAGCACCGCATGCTGTTGTTGCTGTTGGTGGCGTACTTGCTGCCCCCCTCTCCCCCCCCCCCCCCCCGGGCTCGGGCTGGGGGTGGCCCCCTGGGGGGGGGTGTCCTTGTTGTTTGCCCCCACAGCGCTATCTATCAAGATGTCTGTGTTGGCGGAAGTGTGTTTGAACCCCTGGGGGGGGGAAGTTCCCAAGAGCAGTGTCCGGACGAATCGACGCGCCCTTCTCGCACGCGATGTGCGTCGCATGCGGTCTCTGAACGATGCCCCGCAGTACCAAGGAGCTCGGCCTCTGCACTTAGCGGATAGCGGACACCGGGCACTATTCAGAAGTATGAGACAACTCGAATGTTCTGATTGTTGTGGCGCGACTGAGATGTCGCCGCCCCTTGCGCTGATCGACTCGCCTGTCTTCGTGTATGCGGCCTTGCACAGCATGGACCACCACTACTACTGCTGGAGTAACCACCATCATGTAGTACAGTGGGGGGGGGCTGTCTAGGGCCGGTTGAATAGTGCCAATGCCCGGTATAGTGCAGGTGAAATTCTGGGTACATATGTACCGGCACTAAACAGGGACCACCTACTGTACCTATTTATTCACAGGCCGAAGGCGGTTGAATGGCGACCGCCTGCGATGACGAACGACTTCGTCTTCGGCAAGAGTTTGCCGTGTCACGGCGTGTGTTGTGGGTGCCGAATGGAAGGGGGGGGGGGGGGCTTCGCCAGCAAATCACTGCAAAGACTTGGCCTTCGACTACTGTGTTGTTTTCTCGAAAGGAAGGGTAGTCTCTCTTTGATTGGACGTATAATCTCTCGGCTGTAAAAACTTCCCCACTAGCACGGACAGATGAGTGTGCTGGATAGAGAGATACGTAGGGAACGGTTTCTAACGTGAAGACAACAACAACAACAGCAACAACGACACATGATCCCCTCTGCACGGGAACACCCACCCGCCCGCCCGCCCGACCGCCCGACCGCCCGCCCGACCGCAATCCCGCAGGTTCTTCTTGCAAGCGCAGGACGGGGACAAGGCGGAGGCGTACCTGAGGAACGGAACCCTGTCGTTGCTGCCCGAGCACGGCGACGCCCTGGCCGACCTGGCGGTGGCGATGGCGATGCAGGGCAAGGAGAACCCGGCCAAGCTCGAGCAGGCGGTGATAATGATCGAGAAGGCCGAGAGGAACGGAGCTTCGGGAAAGAGCTTCGAGAACCGCCGGTGGGAATCTACAGTAGTCGTCGTTTTTGTTTTTTTTAAAGCGGGAACGGATTTTAAATGTATGGACAACTTCTGGTCCCGGGAACGCCGGCAAGGTGTTTTTGGTGAGCTGGGCTTTTTGTGTGTCTCTGTGGCCGGTTTTTGTAGCGTAGATCCCTCTTGGTAGCTGCGGACTGGGACCCCCTGTGTGGCAGGAGGGGGGGGGGGGGGAGCATTCAGTCATGGATGTACAGCAGTTGATTTTGCTGTTAGTCCGTCGCTGTCGAAACCTTAACGATGCGGCGGTGTTTCTTTTACTTCCGTGTGTTTTATTTTTCTCACGGCCGTAGAGGTCCTTGTTTTACGGCTGATGAAGTCGCTTGGAACAGATGGAATATTCAAGCTGTCTCCTGCTATCAACAATACCGGGTGCCCGATATAAGGCCGACCTAATCCCTTGAACCAGAGCGGCGTTAGTCAGGGGCCTCTTACTGCTGTGGTATCTATGCTGCGCTGACCTGCTGACCAACACCATCTTCTCCAAGGAAACAAAATACTGAATATGATTTCTAACCTGCGGAGCCCCCCCCCCTCCCCCGTGTGCCCGTGCGTGTGTGTGTATTCCTCTGCCTGTGCATCGCCAGGGGGTTCGTGATCGGGCGGATGATGGACAGGGACAATGAAGCTGAGGCGGAGGTCGATGAGGCTGAGTTGAGTGAAGAGTTGTGAAAGATGCCGTGGCGGGGGGGGGGGGGAAGATGATGCTGCCCCCCGCAAGAAGACAGCCGCTGTAATAAAAATATTGTAATTTTTTTGGGGGGGAAAAATTTCGGGCGGGGAATTTTGGTGGGAACATCCTTTGATTTTATTTTCGAATTTTTTCTTTTTTTTTAAAATTTGGGGGCGTTTCCCCAAAACCAACGGGGGCTGCTGCCCCAAAAACCTCCCTAAGGGGGGTGAAAATGGGGCTGCCTGCCCATGAAGCTTTTCAGTGGAACGTAAAAGAAGTGAATCCCCA